TACAGTCTGGTAATTGTTTGATGGCATATGATGATGAGTACATTAATACCGAAATATTACAACTTTGTAATTCAAGCAATGGCAATACATTTATTAACATTACTGGTCTGAATGATATGTCTTGTTTCATTTTTTGTGTACGTGCCTACACTAGTAATGGATATGGAGATTGGATAGTTTTTGTTAATGAGACACTAAAACTACCACCACAACCGTCATATAGCTGTCCATCAATCAATTATACAACAGATAGTGTTATTGCTCTTGGTGTGATTGTTGGTGTATTGTTAATTCTACTGACTGTCAGTTTCATTTTCAATATCTACTGCTTTATAAAGTATAGCCCACATTGTTATACGTAAATTATTATTGTTTTTCTTTTAGGAAAAAAAGTCCATCTACTGCTAATAGGCAAACAAAGTTAGTCTATTTTATATGTTAAGTTAATTACTATCATCATAGAGCTAATGATGATATTGCAATGCAAGTATGTGAACCATATGAAATTCGCAAGGCTAACTTAAGTGAAGAATATGAGGCAGTCTATGATGAATGTCAAACATCACCTGATGTTGTATATGAATGTATCATGCCAAATGAATGTGTTACAACAACTTAATACTCATTAAAACATTCCCACTAGCAGTAGTATAGCATTATATAGTTTGTGTGCAATTGTGCTTAGTTTTGTTTGCCAATATAGCAGCTTTGATGCCAGCAAATTCAATGTTTTTATTTCTTGTCCTAATCAGTACCAGAGTTAGGCTTAGGAGAATTCAGACTATTACAGTTTGCATAATATATTATGAGCATAAACATAAACATGTCTAAACATGACATTTTTATGTGATTTAGTTAATAGAGAAAGTTAATATCAGCGAAGGGGTGGGGTGAGACTAGTATCAATATACCCTTCAAAATACACAGAGTTGTTCTTTGTTGGCAATGAGCACAATTATGTAATCTCGTCGCCTCACCCCTTCCTAAAGCGAAGGGGCTGGGCGACGAGATTAACAGTTATGTTATTACAAAGTAAACAGAGCAATACAAGTCTATAGTCCAACATATTCAGCAGCCTCCATTTTTTGAATAATATAACTTGTACTATAGCCCATGCTCTCTTCCTTAAGTCAAAATCATTGTAACAATAATTGAATAATTTCAAGAGAAGCTCACTGACCTTTTTTGTAGACACTAAATAGTCAATCTGTTACATCCTTATGCTATGTAGAAAGTTTGAGCTGATCCTTTTTTGTTCAAATTAAAAAATATTCTATTTTTTGATAGCAATGTGTGTTTCACTGTAAAAAATGAATGATTAAATTACCCCAACATGGGTTAATTGAAGAGAAAAAACAAGCTTTGGCATCTAAAAGCAGTCAAATGTGCATGTTAACAAATTGGATCTTTGATCAATTAATTCCTAATTTTGCTATTGACATAAAAATTAGTACACGTAATAATTAGATATGCCATAGTAATAATTTTTAACAATCTACTGAGAGTTAAAATAACAATGTTTTTGTACTTGTCATTATAACTCGTCATTATAACTCAATTGTTGTTCTCTCTCTAGTTTTACTTTAGTATCTTCAAATTGAAGCCAGCATATCTTAAAGTAACAGATAGTATAAATTTAAAGCCTGTATACTTCAGTATTTTGCAATGAGTTAGTGCTGCGTTATTAATGTTCATGAGTAATCAGAAAAAAGAGTTATTTAGTGACTGCATGAAGAAAGAAAGAATGAGACAAGACTTTTACCTATAAGATGGGTGCTATTGTGTGTTAATATCCATGAGTTTTCTACAAAGCTTGCTAAGTGAGCTAAACAGTATGCTTTAAGAGCTGACAAACACTACAATCACTACAATACAGTACATATCATTATTTTAAAATCTAAATTTGGTCAAAATCAGACATCATAAGGACCAGCTTTTTTGTGTAGGGGGAGATAAGTCTTGCCACGCGTGGCAAGATGAGACTTTGGAGGGAGAAAAAAAACTTTAATTCAGAAATGTTATTGTACATATCTATGGTTATAATTTATTCTAATGTTTTTATTTTTTGTTAATCGTTGAATGCTCGGTTTGATAACTGGTCAATCATATCACCTAAGTAATTATTATTTAATTTTGGAGGGGATTTAGAGTTTGGGATAGAACCTTCCCTAAACTACAAGGAAAAAATTTAAAAAACTAAACTAAACTAAAATAAAAGTGTTAGTTTCATCACTACCACTCCCAATACATAAAACCCTGATGTATATGCATCAGAAATATTATAAAAATGGGGAATTCTCTCCTTGCTATTTTGACAAAATTTAACCTAAGTAACCTTTGGTTGTTGGAATGATTTTTGAGCAACTTTAAGAATTCATAAAAATTCAATTTCGATTGGAATCAGCTCAAGTTGATACACAACATAAGGACATGTATATTTTGTATCAGAAAGAAATACAAAGATTAGAAATTCTTTTTTAGCCATTTTTAACAAAGTTTGGCCAGATTGGCCTAGTTAAGATATGCCTATAATTAAAGCTATGTTGGCCTGATTTTTGAGCAACTTCAAAATTCATAAAAATTCAAATTTGATTAGATTAAAAAAATTATAGAAATTAAAAATTCTCTGCTATTTAGTTTTTTCCTAAGACCAAGGCCTTGGTCGTTGGCCTAATTTTTGATCAACTTTAAAAATTCATTAAAAATCCAAATTTGATCTCAAAGTTGATACGCAACATAAGAACATATATGTGAAACAATATTAAAAAGGAAAATTCTCTTTATGTGGTTTTTGTAAAATACTCTGTACTATCTATAGCTAGCTAGTACAAGGCCTTTCGCCTAATTTTTGAGCAACTACATGAGCACTATGCCAATCAAAATCCCATAGGAAACCCTGCCCCATCCCCAGTATTAAAAAAACAGAACAATTATGCCTAATACTAATGATTCCTTTTGTCTCTTCTCCAATTATTTGTTCAGGATATAGTATAGTAAAGTAATAGAGTTGATGAAGACATCACTGTAGGAATAGGAAATTAATTTTTGGGGATTAAATTTTTGTGAATTGCTAATATTTTGATTGGCGAATTGTATTTTGGCAAATTTGTGGCCATATTCTATTGAGCATGCGCATAATGGCTTAAATTTGAGGAATTTTTATTTTGGAAAATGGCTATGAAAACACCAAATTTACATTTTAACTCTCTCCAAAATTTCTGCTATATGGTATTATATGTACTCTTGATAACAGTAATAGCATGTCAAGTAGCTACTGTATAGTTTCAGTCAAAAATTTTTGCACTACAAAAAATTAAAATTAAAAAATTAGATGCAGACTGTACTATAAAAATACAACTCTAACATATTGTATGTAAATTAAGCCTTAATTTTACAATCATTCATTATGCCATATATTGAACATCCAATAATTATTATTATGTAATATAGTTGCTGTAAACAACCAATGGGGAAAATTTAATAAGTCACAATAAGAAAAACTATTAAGACCGGTAATATTTCCCGGAAAAAAATTTAACGAAAATCACTTTCAACCTATTCACAAAAAAAATTTTGGCGTTTGTCTTCCACTAACCATTATTAGTATGATAGAAAATATAAAAATTTTCACAAATTTTTTAAAACCGTGAAATTAGTGAAATTAAATCCCCATAAAATCATATATACTATGGTGAAATATACCATAAGTATACCTACCCCCATACACACCCAAAAGTTGAAACCTGAATTAAGATGAATTCTAGTATAAATCAATCCTAATACCAGTCTGAATCGTGGATTTTTGGCACTCAGTCACAATATAATAATGAAATCAGGCATGATACAATTATGATAAGTATTTATACTGGTTCAGCCAGAGCAACAGTCATGATTAGCAATGATGCCTGTCAGGACTATAAAGCCCTCCATACACCAGGCAACATATTGCTAGCAACATTTGTGGTTTCTTTCATCTTTTGAGCAACTTATTGCAAAATATTTTTTTTAGCAACATGTTGCTTACAAGATCAAAGTAACCACAAATGTTGCTAGCAACAAGTTGCCTGGTGTATGCCTGGCTTAACATTGCTGATTCAGGCAAGAAAACTCTTCTGGAATGTGGAGTAGATCTAATTAATTGGGGCGTGTGCTATGACGTTTTTATTCATTGCCAAATGCCAATCAGCTCACATTAAATATGGCAGCAATCGATTCCAGTTCTCAGAAATCCTCAGAAGTAATGCTAGAAAAGTCTCTTTTATGTCCGAAGTGTAATGGCTCATATACTGATCCACGTCTCCTCTCTTGTCTTCATTCTTTTTGTGCTCCGTGCCTCAAATCACTGGTTAATAAACAGGCCTCAAAACAAGCCATTATCTGTCCAACATGTAGTGAAATTACTACACTACCTAAAGGAGATGGCAGCATCATCTCTCTCCCGTGCAATTTCCGGTTGCTTAGCAATAAAGAAGAGATTTTGCTTAAAATTATGTCTTCCACATCTCCGTCATGCAATTCCTGTGATGATGGGGTTGGATCTGCATGCCGTTGTTTATTGCACTGACTGTATGGATTTTCTTTGTCAAACTTGTTGGGGTGCTCATCAAAGAGTTAAAGCTACTCAATCTCATTTATCATTCACCTTAGAAAAAGCACGGACTATGCCAAGAGGGGATCTGTTAAACCTCCTCCCATCCATATCTCTCTCATGTCATGTTCACCCTCGTCAAGAGCTTGACTTCTACTGTATCCAGTGTTCTATACCTGTTTGTGTTAAATGCACTATCATCAGTCACAGAGACCATGCTGTTTCTGAAGCCAAACCACAAGCAGTAAAGACAAAAGAAGAGCTTACTAAAGTGATGACTGCTGTTCATGAAAGTAAGGAGAAGCTGAAAGCAGTTCTGAATACAGGAGAAATAGCAAAAGAGAAGATAAGAAAACAGAAGGAGGAAGTTGACTTGCTTATATACCAAAGTATTGCTAGTCTTCAAAAGTTGCTGGAAGGTAGAGAAAAATCATTAATAGAAAAAAGCAATGAAGTTTCAATGGCTATGCAAGCCCGTCTCTCTCACCAGCTTGATACTTTCAAGTCTTTAATGGAAGACATGGCAGCATGTCAAAATTTATCATTGACTGCTGTCAGAGATTATGGTGACGTAGAATTACTTTCTATTGCTCGTACACTCCAGACCAGAGCCACTGAGCTACAGGAGAAGTTCTCTGGTACATCACTCAAGCTTTGTGAGAGCCCACCTGTTAATGTTGAGATGAATGTAAGTAAAATTGCATCAGGTATAGCATCACTTGGTAAAGTTAATGGGATAGATCCCATTTGTCCTGAGGAGACTACAGCTGAGATACCATCATGTATTCATGTGGCCGGTAAAGAGATACGAGTTAACGTAATATCAAGAGATTCTTTTGGTATGAGATTAAACAAAGGAGGAGCTAGTGTTACTGGTCAAATCACATGTAGAGGAGGAGGAGAAAAGAAGCCTGTTTCTGCTACTATTATTGATTCTGGCAATGGTACTTACACTGTCTCTTTTGTTCCTCAACAATATGGGCAACAGAAAATTTCCATTTTGCTTAATGGTACACCAATCAGAAATAGTCCATTTAATCTGTACATCAGCCGAGACTATATGTCCACTCTGAAGGCGCCATTATTTACTATACCAGATATACCTTCACCTTATTTCATAGCAATAGCAGATAATGGAGATGTATTTGTTACTAGTAACACTCACCATTGTGTCTATGTCTTTAATAGTAATAGAGAGTACCAGAGGGCAATAGGATCAAAAGGGAAAGGTCAGTTACAATTCCAGCAACCTGCAGGCATAGCAATCAGCGGTAATACAGTCTATGTAGCTGAGAATAATGGCAATAGAATACACAGGTTTACTAGGAAAGGAGAATTTATTGACACATTTGGCTGTGAAGGCTCAGGGAAAGGACAACTGAAATATCCATGGGGCATATGCATAGACAATGATGGGAAACTGTATGTTACTGAATATGGTAATGACCGAATTCAAGTATTTCATCAAAATGGCAGTCACTCTCACTTCATTCTTGCTACCATAAATGGAGAGCACAAGTTTAAGCAACCAGAAGATGTGGCCATTGATTCGAATGGTCACCTTCATATTACTGGCCATAGTTCAAACAATGTCGCTGTATTTACACTGGGTGGAATATTTATGAATAGCTACCCAATTAAACATGGACCATGTGGAATAGCTTTTGATCCAGCTGGTTATTCTATTATTAGTATGAATGCGGGGCCATCAAAAATTGGTGTATTCGATTCATCTTACCATTCAGTTGTGTCAACTGATAGGAATTTGTGTAGTTTGAGAGGGATAGTAGTTGCTTTTGATGGATCAATATGGGTTGCTGAAGATGGAAAGAATAGACTTTTAATTTTTTAAATTACACTTGACTGTGCAATCATTATATCGGAGAATTATTATTAGTTGGCGTGAACCCCACATAAACAACACGAGTATGTAAAGACCAGAAAATTTATATCTACACTTAAACTAATTAGTTTGAAAGTATGGTGAATTGGTGACTAACCATAACTGTAACACACATAGATCTATTCAATTGTTATACACAAAGCTAATAATTATCTATACTGTGGTTTTCATGCATGTACACATTCTTGTGTGTTTTTTACTTTTTGCTCTTTTTGTTTGCCCTATCTCTTTCCTTTTACTCTGATCATCTTTGAGTCAAGAGTTTGATTATCAACATTATAGTTTGCATCAACAGTAGCCTAGTTGCATAAAATCATGTTATTCGTAACTTGTTTCAAAGAGAACAACAATGAATGCATGGCATGCAGCATAATTGACAGAGCCATACAGTGTCTTACCTGAGGAAGGTGGACATTGACTAATAACTTCACTGACACTCAATAAGAAGACAACAGACACCATTAGCACTGACACTGCCATTTCACCCATCATGAATAATACAGTGACTGTTGCTGTTGCATGCTTTTTCTTCTTAAAAACTTAAATAAATAAACTGATAGTGTTGTTGTTTCCTCATCACACAGCTCAATAACACTCAATATCGTATTGACTGTCTCACAACTACTGATATAAATCCTTTAACTGATGTTTACTGGCTAGTGAATGGAGTGATGAAGAGTAACTCAATGTATACATCAATTGATGTCCTGACATACAACGACACACTACTGATATATCTTGATCCACTGGGAGTGTCAATTAATGTTACCTGTATAGCAATAATTGGAGGAGTCAACTACAGTCAAGTTTTGACATTACATGGTATGGTTGTACGTTAATCAATAGTAAATACCTTTATTTCTTTTCTAGCTCCTAGTGGTCCTCCAAATAATGTGAGAGGGTTTATATTAAATGCTAATAGCATCAAAGTGAACTGGACCAATTCACCACAGACTAATGGATATGTGATTGAGTATAATACTGGAGGTGTAACCAGGAATGTAGTGTCTATCATTGAAGATAAAATTCTACTAACAGATCTCTCACCAATGAGTACCTATACCATCAGTGTGTACTTATATATAGATCTTCCTTCACATAATAATACAGTAACAGTGTTAAGATTTGATGGTGAGTTATTGTCATTGAGACAGGGAAATTTATACTTGTTTAGTCCCTAGTCCAGTAACTAGTCTCTCAGTATCTAATATCTCAACCACTGGTATTACAGTGAACTGGACTATTCCCAGTAGTGACAACTATGTAACATACTACACCATCTCCTATACTCCATCTTGTCCCTAGTTATCATCAGTGAATGAGACAGTCTCTGTTGCTTTTCCAGTGGCAGCCAGCAGATCAAGAAGGATTTTACAAGTGTTGTCTGCCCACTAATTGTTCAGATCCAAGCAGGCAAGTTGGTTTAGCATTCCCATGAAGTATAAAATTTGAAACTATGTACATTATGTAGTGCTTAATGATAACACATATAAAGGTATAAATTTTCTGATTCACAAATATGGTTAATATTCATTTTAAAATTTAAGATTATGATCATAAATGTAACAATAATTTAATTTGTCACTATTGAAGTTCACTAATGAATGTAAAATGTTACCTGATCCTGCTAATATGCTTTAATGACTTGTTTTTAAGATCATTAACTTGAAAGTTTTGTAGTTTAATTTTGTATCCTTTATAATGTCTAGAGCAAAATGCAAAAAGTTTACTATTCACCTGTTAATTCACAAAACACTTAATTTGGCTGAACAGAATCCTTATAAGAAAGATTGACATAAATGTATCTGTACATAGCCTATCAGCTAAGATGTATTTAAAAATACATGGTTAAGCATATACCTATTCCCTTCTTTAATTTGCTTGCAATGATACTAAAGTCTATTCACTTTCACCTGACCTCTAGTTATTATCAGTTAATAAACTTTTAAAAATATTATTGCCATATTTATGGAATGTCATACTAATGACATGTATATAAGTAAATCAAAACTAATGTACCTTTATTAATGCACTGTTATTATAATATACTGCGACCTGGCTATGGTGTCTAATTTTTATATGCTACATCATACGAACTACCTTATACCATGACCACTAGGGATATATGAGGCATATACCTGAGAATGATAAGTCTCATCATGTGTTTTTCTCTTGTTATGTTTGTCCCTTGCTATTTCCTTCTTTGATGTAACCTCTGATCATAATCTGTTATTATCAACTCTTTGAGTCCTGTATTAACAAGAGATTGAGATCATTTATCATCAATAGCATAGTTTATTAAAAGCATTAAGTGTCATCATAATATGTTGCAAAGAAATAAAAAAAAACAATGAAAGTGTCTCTAACTAATATTATTCATAATGGGTAAAATGGCTGTGTCAGTGCTAATGGTGTCTGTTGTCTTCTTGTTGAGTGTCAGTGAAGGTATTAGTCAATGTCCACCTTCCTCAGGTAAGACACTGGATGTGTATAATAACAACTGTATAGGTTTTTATAGGCATCTACCTGATGCATGATGGAAGCTGTTATACTAATGGATCATATTTTTGGAATTCTAATATCGCTGGCAATGCTGTATCATGTGTGTTACCTGGTACTAGTTTAACTACTGGTCAGTGGGTTAGAGTTGCTGATCCTGATGATCCTGTTGAGTGTGGCAATACTGACAAGGATCCATTTACTTGTACCAATATTACTTCACCTAATGCTACTCTCAGTCTTTATCTTGCTCAGGGACTACCAGCAGCTCAAGAAGGCTGGTACAAGTGTTGTCTACCCACTGATTGTTCAGATCCTAACACTAACATCATTTTTGCTAATATATTCAGTAAGAGGAGACTATAATCACTTAATAATAAATTTTAATTGGTAGGGTTTGCAGAGATAGAATCATTTAATATTGCTGCTCTTCCTTCTGATATGACAGTATATCCTCAGAAATACAAACTGAATTGTACTAAAATTGGACATAATGTTTATGGTATTAGTATGATCATTGGTAATACTGCACTGATTAATTACATTGAATGTAGTGACGGCAATAGTAATTCCCCTTGTTCTGGTACTGTGTTAGTTAGTAGTACCAATACAATAAGATATACTGTTAATATCACATGGGATGGAATGACAGTCAGTAGTGGATCAATCAATCAATCAACCACTGGAGATCAAGTATACCATTGTGTACTGGATAATCTTTATAATGTTAAAGACAGAATACGCACTGTGACAATAAAAGGTAATGTATACAGGTATACTCTTGGTGCATGACATAAATATACAAGTTATTCTGATAAAAGTCTATCTCCCTATTAGTACCAGCAACTGCTCCTTCTTCTCTTACTGAGGTCAACAAGACAGCTACCACTATCACTGTCAGTTGGACTGCACTTGATTCATCTGATGCTGATGGATATGTAGTTAATGTCACTAGTGACACAGACACTGTGCAGACAGTACAGGTGGATGGAAGTAGTAATAATACATTCACACTGAAAGGGCTGAGAGAACTAACAACTTATAGCATCACAGTCAGAGCCTATCAACAATTACTGGGACCTGCTAGTACAATCAGTGTCTTCACTCATTGTCAACAAGAAGGTATTTTTAATGTAATATTGCCAAATTAAGTAGCATTTTATAGATATCTACTTAGCTTATAATGAAAACTGTTATTCTAATGGATCATATTTTTGGGATAGTAGTAGCAATTCAGTCACTGAAGCTATATCATGTGTGTTACCTGGTACTACTCTAACCACTGGTCAGTGGGTTAGAGTTGCTGATCCTGATGATCCTGTTGACTGTAACAGTGCAAATACCAATGATCCTTTTTGTTGTACTAATGTCACTTTGCCTGATGCTACTCTCAGTCTTTATCTTGCTCAGGGACTACCAGCAGATCAAGAAGGCTGGTACAAGTGTTGTCTACCCACTAATTGTTCAGATCCTAACACTAACATCATCTTTGCTAATATATTCAGTAAGGGGAGACTATAATCACTTAATGATAAATTTTAATCTGTAGGATTTGCAGAGATAGAATCATTTACTGTTGCTGCTCTTCCTTCTGATATGACAGTCTATCCTCAGGAATACAAACTGACTTGTACTAAAATTGGACATTGGTACTATGGTATTAGTATGAGCATTGGTAATATTGCACTGGTTAATTACACTGGATGTAATGATAGTAATAGTAATTCCACTTGTCCTGGTACTGTGTTAGTTAGTAGTACCAACACAATAAGATATACTGTTAATATCACATGGGATGGAATGACTGTCAGTAGTGGATCAATCAGTCAATCAACCACTGGAGATCAAATGTATCAGTGTGTACTGGATGATCTTAGTGGTGCTGATAGAACACGTGCTTTAACCATGACAGGTAGTAAATGCCAGTTATTCTATAAGTATGCATTTCTTTCTAATCAGTGCCAGCAACTGCTCCCTCTTCTCTTACTGAGGTCAACAAGACAGCTACCACTATCACTGTCAGTTGGACTGCACTTGATTCATCTGATGCTGATGGATATGTAGTCAATGTCACTAGTGACACAGACACTGTGCAGACAGTACAGGTGAAGGGAAGTAGTAATAACATAATCACACTGAATGGACTGAGTTTGCTAACAACTTATAGCATTACAGTCAGAGCCTATCAACAATTACTGGGGCCTGCTAGTAGTGTAATCAGTGTCTTTACTCATTGTCAACAAGAAGGTATTTTTGATGTAATATTGTCAAATTAAGTACTCTTTTATAGATATCTACTTAGCTTATAACAAAAACTGTTATCCTAATGGATCATATTTTTGGGATAGTAGCAGCAATTCAGTCACTGAAGCTATATCATGTGTGTTACCTGGTACTAGTCTAACTACTGGTCAGTGGGTTAGAGTTGTTGATCCTGATGATCCTGTTGACTGTAACAGTAATAGTGACAGTGATCCTTTTCGTTGTACTAATGTCACTTTGCCTGATGCTATTCTCAGTCTTTATCTTGCTCAGGGACTATCAGCAGCTCAAGAAGGCTGGTACAAGTGTTGTCTACCCACTGATTGTTCAGATCCTAACACTAACATTATCTTTGCTAATATATTCAGTAAGAGGAGACTTTAATTACTTGCTGATGTAATAGTTTTCATTTGTAGGATATTCAGAAATAGAATCATTTACTATTGCTAATCTTCCTTCTGATATGACAGTATATCCTCAGGAATATAAAATGAATTGTATTAAAATTGGACACTATGGGTATAATGTTAGAATGAGTGTTGATGGTAGTATGCTGACTAATTATACTGATTGTGATGATCGGTATAGTACATGTCCTGGTACTGTGTTAGTTAGTAGTACTAACACAATAAGATATACTGTTAATATCACATGGGATGGATCGACTGTCAGTAGTGGATCAATCAGTCAATCAACCACTGGAGATCAAATGTACCAGTGTGTACTGGATAATATTAGTGGTGCTGATAGATCACGTACTTTAACCTTAAAGGGTAATGATAAAAATACTAATAATTATATACATATTTCTCCCTATTAGTGCCAGCAACTGCTCCTTCTTCTCTTACTATGGTCAACAAGACAACTACCACTATCACTGTCAATTGGACTGCACTTGATTCATCTGATGCTGATGGATATGTAGTCAATGTCACTAGTGACACAGACACTGTGAAGACAGTACAGGTGGAGGGAAGTAGTAATAATACACTCACATTGAATGGACTGAATATAGAAGCAACTTATAGTATCACAGTTAGAGCCTATCAACAATTATTGGGGCCTGCTAGTACAATCAGTGTACAGACCTTACCAGGTATTGCTGCACCTTTTAATGTACTTGTAACATTGTTGATGTATTTCTAGTTATTTCTTTGATCAATTGGACACTAGTCTCATCCATTACACAACTCAATAACACTCAATATCGTATTGACTGCCTCACAACTACTGATATAAATCCTTCAACTGATGTTTACTGGTTAGTGAATGGAGTAAAGAAGAGTAACTCAATGTATACATCAATCAATGTCCTGAGATACAACAACACACTACTGGTATATCCTGATCTACTGGGAGTGTCAGTTAATGTTACCTGTATAGCAATGATCGGAAGACTCAACTACAGTCAATCTGTGATATTACATGGTATGATTAAACTATATTGTAGATACCTTTATCTCTTTTATAGCTCCTAATAGTCCTCCAAATAATGTGAGAGGGTTCATATTAAATACTATTAGTATCAAAGTGAACTGGACCAATTCATCAGAGACTAATGGATATGTGATTGAGTATACTACTGGAGGTGTAACCAGGAATGTAGTACCTACCAGTGAAGGTGAAATTGTACTAACAGGTCTCTCACCAATGAGTACCTATACCATCAGTGTGTACTCATATATAGTTCTTCCTTCAGTTAATAGTACAGTAATAGTGTTAAGATTTGATGGTGAGTTATTATCACTGAGAGAGAGAGAGAGAGTAATTGATATCTGTTGTAGTTCCTAGTCCAGTAACTAGTCTCTCAGTATCTAATGTCTCAACCACTGGTATTACAGTGAACTGGACTATTCCCAGTAGTGACAACTATGTAACATACTACACCATCTCCTATACTCCATCTTGTCCTCAGTTATCATCAGTGAATGAAACAGTCTCTGTTGCTCCTCATCAGTCCACTACAACATACAGTTATACATTAATAGGTCTGTACAGTGGTATGAACTATATTATCACAGTGAGAGCTGGTAATGTACTAGGAGGATCTGAGTCTAGTTCTATTGATCAAGAACTAACATCAAAAGGTATGATATACAATTTTGACACTATTGTATAATATAGTCATAGTTCCTACTGGTGTACCTGGCTACTTGTTTTTTTTACAACCAATTAATAACCTTACTTGGAATGAGGTCAATTGTTCTCAGCATAATGGTCGAATCACAGGCTATACAATAATTATCAGTAACAGTAGTATCACATACAACCTCACCAGTACTAAAAAATACATCATATTGAATGATCTAGTATTTGGTACTAAGTATAACATCAGTGTAGCTGCTGTCAATTCTGTTGGAAGAGGCCCCTTCAGTGATCCTATTGTAGTAGAGATTGGAATAGGTATGTAATTATTATTATACTATATCAGTTCTGTGAGAATGTCTTTATTAGTACCTGGTCCAGTTGGTTCAGTATCCAGTATCATGGACACTACATGGGCTATTATTTCATGGAGTGTACCTAGTTATATTCCATCAGACTATCCCATTATCACATATGAGATAGGGTATCATGCCTTACAGTCTGGTAATTGTTTGATGGCATATGATGATGAGTACATAAATACTGAAATATTGCAACTTTATAATTCAACCAATGGCAATACATTTATTAACATTAGTGGTCTAAATGATATGTCTTACTTTATTTTTGGTGTACGTGCCTACACTAGTAATGGATATGGAGATTGGACAGTTATTGTTAATGAGACACTAAAACTACCACCACAACAAACATGTAGCTGTTCATCAATCAGTGATACAACTGTTAGTGTTATTGCTCTTGGTGTGTTTGTAGCTGTATTGTCGATTCTACTAATTGTCAGTGTCATTTTCAATATCTGCTGCTTTATGAAGTATATTTAGTTTACATTATTATAAGTAAATTGTTATTGTTTATCTTTTAGGAAGAAAAGTCTATTTACTACTAATAAATTTATTCACTATTATCATAGAGCTGATGATAATATTGCAATGCAAGTATGTGAACCATATGAAGTTCACAGGACTAAACTTAAGAAAAAGCAGACAAAGTTAGCATAATTATTCTATTATTTTAATTCATTCACTACCAAGTAGAGTTGATGATGATATTGCAATGCGAGTTTGTGAACCATATGAAGTTCACAAAACAAAACTAAATGAACAAAATGCAAGAGTCTATGATGAATGTCAAGCATCACCTGATGTTGTTGTTTATGAACGTATACCACAATAAATGTGCTACAACAAGTTAATACTGTTGAGTAACTGTTAAAACATTTCCATTAGCAGTAGTATAGCAATACTTATATAGTTTGTGTGAAAAGGTGTTTAGTTTTATGAGTATAGCTTTGACTCAGCAAATTACATATTTGTTATTTCTTGTCCTATTAGCTGGGTAGTACCAGGACACACACACACACTAGTCTTGTGTGGCCAGAGTCTTACCCCTTTTTGATAGAACTGATGATCATAATATGCAGATATGTGGACCATATGAATCTCACAAGACTGAACAATTAAACTGATCATGGAAAATAAGAGAGTCTATGATGATTATCAATTAATTAAGCATCGACTGACAATGTTTATGACTGTATGCTACAATGAAATAAATGTGGTACAACAACTTAATGATAGGTAGTCAAGATCTCAATGTTTAACTTATATGTATGCCTCTTATTATAGTTGTAGCGTAATTTTTTATGAATCATTATCATTACATTAGTACATATTACATACTTGTGTGAAAATTGGTTCAGCAGTTTAATTATGTAATAACATGTAGGTGCATATTGTCAATTCTGTTGGAAGAGATCCCTTCTGTGATCCTATTGTAATCTAGATTAGTAATTATTATTAGTTTTGTGAGAATGTGTCCTTTATTTAAGTTAGTTCAGTATCCAGTGTCATGGACACTACATGGGCTGTTATCTCATGGAGTGTACCTAGTTATATTCCATCAGACTATCCCACTATCACATATGAGATATAGGGTACCATGTCTACTGTCTAGTGATTGTTTGATGGCATATGATGATGAGTACACTTTAAAATTTAACCAATGGCAATACACTTATTAACATTACTGGTCTTACTTTATTTTTGGTGTAGATCTACATGCCTACACTAACAGTTATTGTTAACGAGACATTAAAACCACCACCAAAGCCATCATGTAACTGTCCATCAATCGATGATACAATAAATAGTGTTATTGCTCTTGATGTGTTTGTAGTTGTATTATTGATTCTACTGACTGTTAGTGTCATTTTCAATATCTGCTGCTTTATGAAGTATAGTCAACATTGCTATATGTGAATTGTTAGTGTTTTTTGGGAAGAAAAGTCCATCCACTGCTGATATATAGGCAAACAAAGTTAATCTATTCTATTATGTTAATGTATTCACTCACTACCAACAAAATAGAGCTGATGATGATATTGCAATGCAAGTATGCGAACCATATAAAGTTTGCAAGATTAAACGAAATGGAGATGAAACAGTTAATGATGAATGTCGAACATCGCTTGATGTTGTTTATAAACGTATACAAAATGAATGTATGTACTACAGCATAATACTGTAGAGTAACTCTTGGTGGTCTCAGCATAAATACTATGGTTGCCATCACTAAGGCAGTTTTCTCAGTGATCCTTCTCTCTCTTTCATTAGCTTTTCTTTTTCAATTAAGGTCTAACAAAATGCTAATTTCTTCTGTGTTTATTAATCTCAATATTACAATAATGTTCATTTTCATAAATAACATACAGAAATGTGGTGCTTGTACATTATTAAAAACTGGTTATTATATCTAGTTTCATCCTATGATCCCTGCTCCCTTTGGCATCTTCCTATTCTCATCTTGTGTATGTCCTTTGTTTTTTAATAGTGGGGAGCTAATTTCAGTTGCCACTGATTATCAATCTCTGTCACCTACATAGCAAAATACAAATAAAGTACAACCTCTCCCACTCTTACCTCATGATTTTTGACAGCTTCCAGCAATGACTCATAATAAGGAAAGATAGGCAAACTCCTCCTACTCTATTAGGTATTATAATGAAAGAGAGAAACTCATATCCTTCTTCAAATTCAATCTTTCTTCTTCAATTTACAGTTCTTCTTCAATTTACAATCTTCAGACATTTCTACCTACAAGAAAAATGTAGTTCCATCATCTCCTATATAAGCTACATACTTCATTCTCTTCTTTATTGTAATCTAACAGTTTCAGCCAAGACAAATGCTATCTCATCATCCATGCTGACAAGATTATACTCTTTTTTGCTAGTAAAAAAAGACAAAAAATATAAAAAATAGTAAGTAACCATTCTTACACTTTGTTTTTCTCTTTAGCATTTTTGTCACTGGGTTATGCCTTACTTGTTCTCCCATTTTCTTAAGTGTACGGCCCCAACAATGAGAAAGACAAAATGCAATAAATAAAAGCAATTCCTTTTTCACACTTAGCTGATACATGTACTATGAAGTGGTGCTTACTCATCACAGAAGAAATATTATACCATTCAATCTTCTCATGCCCTTTGCCTATATTTTAAAAAAACATGAATGTAATTAAAGTATAATAATGAACAAAAAAGCTACTAACATTTCTATGCTCATCAGTAAGCTCCTTTAATTTCTTTTTCTGCAGGTGCTCAGCATTTTCCCTCTTAGTCAATCTACAAAGAAATATAAAATTATGATTAATATAGATTATTTGTATTAGCAAGAATACTGCAATACTTACTTGGTAGTTGTTATCAGAGTCAGAGAACAGATATTTGTTATCAATTACATCAGCCTCCAGCTCTGCAAGTTTATCTTGAGCATGGTCTCCAAGTTAACATTTTAAATGTAACTCTGGGATCTACAAAAAACAATTACTTGCAGCTGGTTAGGTTGACTGACCATTGTGACCAATTTACTTTGGCCCTTTTCAGCAATCTGTAGTTATTTCATTGGTTCTTCATAACCCTGGAAAAAGAGGGAAGAGAGAAAGATAGAGGAGAAAGTGACAATGATAATAATTTTTCTGATAATTTTCTAATCTTCTCTATATCTTTTTTTATTCTGACAGTCAAGGTATCTCTCTTCAGCAAATCCTTCTCCCTCTCTTTCTCCATTGCATATTATTCATCTTAATTCCTCCTCCTCTCCAATTATCTTTGCCTTCATGTCATCCTCACTACTACTGTCACTCTCTTACTGACTGCTTTTATCTTTTCGTATTTCTTTTATTGCTCCTTTGTACTATACATTGATATACAATTATTATATTTCTTATGAATTTTTAAAGTTTTTCAAGAATTTTGTCAACTATACAAACTTTCTTTAAGGTGGATATATTAATTGTGTCATGTAATTTTAGCATTTTTAGCGAGTATACTTAAAAATGCCAATTCAATCAGCCACTAATAATATGCAATACACTAATACAGCACTGTCAAAATAGATTATTTGTACCAGTATAGTATAACAATGAGTGACTTCTTACTTGGTATCATAAAAAATTCTTAATCAATAATGTCATCCTTAAGTCCTAAAAGGTCATCCTCAAGTTTCTCAACCTTATCTTGCGCTCTTCTATTAACATAACTTTACGGCACAACTCAGGGATCTATAAAAATAACAATTAGCAGGCTAGTAGTACAATAAGTCAACTGACCAATTTCTTTCCCTTTTCTCTTTCTTCCCTTCAATTTTTCATCTCTTCACCTTTATCTCATCTTCAATATCATAGTTTCTTTTGTTCCTTATTCCTATACATTGATATATAATTTTAAGGCCT